GTCGTCTGGATCAAGTACCCTCAAGTCATCAAAAATAGCGAGCTGTATAAACGCACCAACTCCCAGCCCCTAGGGGAAACCATTGTGAGAGCGAGGTGGCGGCTCTTTGGCCATGTCCTGAGACTAAACGACGATGTACCAGCACGCGTTATGATGGCAGCATACTTCGAAAACCCAAGTTCCGCTGCCACCTGGCGGGGCCGGCCACGTACCACTCTGCCACTGAGTCTGCACCAGGACCTGCAGCGTATCGGGGGGTCGCTCAAGAAACGCGAGGAACTTGAGAACCTCCACGCCATCTCCCAGTCACGACAAGACTGGAAAGACCTATGCAGCAATGTGATAAAAGCATACATCAAAGCCTAATACTGCTTCCACCTGTGGCAGCTGCATGGCTGTACGGTGTACCATAACAAAACTCATTGACTAACATATTTTGTGAAAATATTATCCTGTAAAAGAATAGGAATGTCAACAATATACCTGTGAAAACACAACCTTTAATGCTACTAACACAACCTGTGACTACAATAATCATGAGATCAACCCCAAAACATTTCTTGCAGTTTACTTTCGTAGAGTTTGCAACTTTGTGTTCCTCAACACAACTTGCAGCTTTCTTCAAAAATGTCCTCAACCTTGGTTCTGTCCTAGATCGTATATACATGCATTCATTGTTTCGTCTCATCATTATGGAGCAGCTTATGCGAAGCCTAGCCAAGCTTGGTTGGCGATGCCAACGCGGAAAAGCCTATAATAATAATAATAATAATAACACAAACACTCATCAAGGTTCTTGTTCGTATCTCTTCCTTGAGCAAAGACCAGTTTTTCCTTCTCATGTCAGTGAATACTAGTACTGTAGCTCATAGCTACACTTTATCAGAAGACATTAGAGAGGTTGCGCACTACGTAAAGTTGAGCAACTTTACGTTAGTGGGCGGGAAAAACCCGTGAATTCGCGAGTTTGCACTCCACTTACGGAAAGTTGTCTACGTAGAGTACGTAGATAGGGCTCTGATAACGTAGCTGGTCTGTAAGTGGATTGGGGTACAAACTTATGACTCTCTCCCCAGGTCGTACACTGCCGCGTTCGGAGTTGCCAAGGGCAGCTACGTGATTTGAAAACTCCGCATGGCGGAACACAGATGCGCATGCAGTTTACGTAAGACTTTCCGTAGATCGACTACGTTTTTTACTGACATAACTACGTTATGCGGAACCTCTCTATTGTCAATAATAAGGACGTTTTGCAACGCGAAAGTTCAAAAGAAAATTCGAGTCTGGGAATGAGTACAGAAACAAAGCTCAAAACTTCGAAAACTTGGACGCGAAATTGCAGTGATTTGCGAAAGTAACTTTCTCTTTTCTCGGTACGCATTTGACTACAGGGAGTAGTAAATTTACTTGAGACTGAGCTGCATACTCTGTATACGGTACGGTGCTAAAAGATTCAAATAACTTCGAGAAAAAGTCATTTCGCATTGCTAAACCTCACAAGTTTTCTTTTTCGAAATAGATTTTCGCGAAATATCACACCAAAAGTTCGAATTTTCGCATTGCTAAACGTCCTTAGTAAAAGCAAGTTTAGAAAAAAAGGCGACGCGATGACAAAGACAACAAAGTTGTGGTACCCAAAGAAGATCCATCTAGAAGGCAACTATTGTCTGCCCCCCCCCCCCTTTCAGTCACTCTTAACCCTTTCCGGGTTTATGACGAATACACTCGTCATGCAGACCCCATCGCGTCTGGGCTATGACGAGTATACTCGCGCTATACTTTTTGTACAGTCCACGTACCGTACGCACTGATAGATCACTGTACAAACAGGCATAACTCTTGAACGGATTATCGCATCGCCATGATCAATAGCTCATTGGAACGGTCTTGGAAAGGGCTTTCCAGAGGTGTTTTCGCGATTTTGATCAGAATATTTTTCTTACTTTCTATCTGGCAATTTTTTGGCGACTTTTAAGTCGTTCAAGGGGATTTTCCAATGACGCGTCAAAGGCAACATGACGTATGAGTACATCGTTTGAATCGCTTGAATCTCACAAGTTCGATGCTGTTTGAATCGTAGTTCTACGTTGAGTATGAGCCCCAAACTGAAGGAAATAGATGTGATTACGTCATGTCTCTATTGGACGCATGCACGCATCCATACTATGGATTCATGTGTTCTTCTCCTTGCTCTTCTTCCTCACTTGAGAATGTAAATAATTAGTTTCTATTATCTTGTCAGCAAACTAGTTCCTGTTGTCTAGTAGGAGTGGTGTACATGAGAACATAACAGTGGTCTTGATGCCAACCTGGAGCAGGATAGGGACACTTATTGGCGAGGCTAGGGGAGTCCTTGAGGTGCTGTATGCTCTCAAAGTACGTGGGAGATGACGAGCAGGAAAGGAGCTTTCCAGTAAGCCACAAATCGTGAAAATCCGTTGAGAAACAATAATGTTATGACAATTTGTTTGTTGCTCTCTCCACAATTGTACTGATGCACTGAATCACAGTGCCCAGACGTAGTAAATGCACTGTGACCCTGAAAGGGTTAAAAGACACAATAATAATTAATGAGAGCGAAGTCCATTTTACACAACAAGTGTAGCAAGCACAAGCAAGTCACTTCACCGAAAACGTACTTGTCATCCAAAGGGCAAACAGAGCCAGAGAGGTCGGCGTGAGCAAACCAGCTGTCCGGGCCTGGGGGGATCGCGTCCCTATCCACCGAGACTGCAAAGGCGTGTATCTTGCCCTGGAGAATGTGCAGCAGCGGCAGCGCAAACAGGAACTGCCAGTAGGGCGTGGGAGACTGCCTGCGGGAGTCACGTGCAATGTTCACCACATACAGTATACTTGCGGCCATTTCCCTGGCAAGCGAAAAGAGAGCAAAAGACACAATATACTATGTGAACAACTGAGCAACACCTAATAGGCCATTCACACGACGTGCAAACACATGCACGCATGTGACCAAGATAACACTGGCAAACCGCGATCCAGTTCAGACGGTGCTGGGCAAACTTTGCACGCGTGAATGTGTCCATAGTGACCTCCTGAAAATGCCGGGAAATTTTAAATTTTGAATTTCCCTTTGTTCAAGCACTGCATCTGCAGTACGCACTTCAACAATCGACAGGCGTGCAGAGTATAATCGTGAGCACAAGGGCCCAAACCAAGTTCAAAAATCAGTTGCACGCGTGTGTCCAAGTTTATCGTACGCGAGTAAATACCATTGGAAACGGTACGATAAAAGTAAGTTTGCACGTCGTGTGAATGGCCTATAAGCCCCTCTATAGTGCAAACTGCAACATCTGACTACACAAAGATTTTACAAGTGCACAAAGTCCGTTAGATATTTGTGAGGTTCTGCTGTACGTGAAACGTAGAGAAATCACGTCGAGAGCAGGTGTCTACGCATTGGAAACACCAGCAGAGTCAAGAAGGAATCGACTCTGAAGGCACACAGCATAGTCACTGCTGTTGACCCGAAAAATAGACGTACCGGTATTGCTGGAGCAACACATAGAACTGACGAAGCAAGAACCTACGCTAGGCACGCTTGGTCCACTATTAGAAAGTCTTCAGGGGCGTAGCTGGTTCCCGGCCGCATATGTGTAGGATGGCTGGTGCATGTCATTCATGGTCATTATGTGCATGCTGAACCTAGGTCGAAACTTTGGGGGGGGGGGGGGTACACGTGTATGTTTAGTATTGTTTACATGCACCACATGATCAGAACAGCTAGTATACTACGCAAACTGCTCTGATCACAGGAGCCGCTGGTACCTGAACACAATAAAACCGACTAACCGGCGCTCCTTTTCAGAAAAGGGCTCGAGCGCTTGGAGTTGTGGACACTCGCGCCGTTCCTCGTTGATATCCAGTCTCAGCAGCCTCACTAGCTGAGTGGAGGTCTCACCACCAGGGTGCAGGCCCAGCTTCCTCAATACCATACACATGAGGACGGCTGCCATCAGACGATCATCACGCTTCATTTCCAGTTCAGCACCCAGCAGCTGCTCCAAGCCCGGCAAAAAGTACCTGTCCAAGATGGCCTGGAGTATGAGCAGCGAGAAAAAGGAGAAGACAGCAATAGGCATGATGCTAGGGCTGAAACAAATGCAGCTTCCCGGCGTACACAGTAAAACATGCAAAGCAAGTCACAGTGTTGAACGCCGCTAATGCGTTCGTATAGATCAGAGGCTACGCGAACGCATGCTGGAAATCGGCTTTTACAACTGTTGCTATACAAATATCTCACCTGATTCACCGGCATGTGCCCGGAGTCAACGTTGAAAGTGTACCAGCGTTGGTGCTCAATCTCCACCACTTGAGCGTGGTTGAGCTGACGATAAACTTGATAGATCTCATCTCTCTGTGTGAAGACAGACTCTTTGCTTGTAAAGTCCCAGCTGGGGAGTAGTGACACTATGGACAAATGCCTCTCAAACACTTGCACCGAAACCCCACCGATAAGGTCTTTAACGGTCCTCTTCAGCGAGCTGAAGAATCCACCAGACGATTTGGGATGAATAACATTGTCGTACTGGGTGAAGGTACCTGCACGATATGTAAAATGGGCGCATCCAGGGAAACACACACACACGCATACACGCGTGTACACACGCACGCACGCACACACACACACACACACACGGTAAGCAATTGTCCCCACTTGCACAGATGCATACATATGCCAGGGCTATGTGTGCGTTAGTGGAGATGGCGGTGCTTTCGGTGCCGTTAGAACCATCTCATATTGTCAAAAGGACGTGATCAGGTACCGTGCATGTACATGAACACCGTGCACACATCACACACTGCTCTGGCCTAATATTACTGTTCTTGGGACCTACAGTCCATTCACAAAGAGATGGACCCTGGCTCTGGCGAGCTCCCGTATTAGGCGATTTTTCAAGATTTTATCGTACACAGTGCAGTGCTGTGAAATTTGAAATTTGAAAAAGGGTCCAAAAAGGGTACCTGAACTGGGGTTCGAACCGTACAATGCACTGTTGCAAGCAGGATCAAACGGCCTGGATTTTGATGGGTTTTCCCAATTCAGTGCTCTTGGGGCAAAACCTGGCCGAAATCCTATTCTTGCTATGGCTTGCTTTTTGGAGAAATGGACTTCAGAAACATAATTGGAAAAGGATTCAAGAAGTCCATCTTTTTCTGAATGGACTGTAGCCATGTTAGCAGCTCGGATGGGTTGCTATCACAGTGGAATTCCGGGAGTACATCCTTTTAGTGATGTCGCGCATACAAGCAGGCTCCAACCAGGTCTCCTGCTGCACAACTGAAGCTCAGTTGGACGCACCACGCCACTTCCCGGCGCATATCTTCACCAACTATGATGTAATCTAGGTATTTCACCATGACAGGTACCCAGGGATCGATTTATCCGGGTTCGCAGCGCACTTCGCAGTTTGCGAATCAACATTCACTGGCTGCGATTCGATTTTTGTTTTTTATCGCCCAAAACTGCGATGCACTGGCCATGCATACCGGTATGTACAAAGACCATTCTGTACTGATTGTGTGCAGTTTACATGCGACTGTTGTACACCACTGCTGACTAGGGAGTAGTATTTTACTACTCCAACCAACTGGCCTGTCCTGCTCAGTCCGCGCACGGGTCGTGGATCGCGCTCTGTTTGATTTTGGACACCTTACTACCCACACTGGTCGTACAAGACTGCAGTCTTTTGAAGTTTTGTACACGGCGGCGACTTTACCTGATGTTCTCCTTTCTCCTTTCACTGTCAAGCTCAATTCAGTTTGTTTCTGTTCGACAAGTAGATGAAGTAGATGGTTCTTAGTCTCATGTAGCCAATATGTCAGTGAATCTGATCACTGTCCAGAAGCGGGAAAAAGAACTGGACGCGCCAGGAGTGTCGATTCGTTTCGATGAAGAAAAGGAGAAAAAGGAAAATTCTGTGCGCTTTGAGCAAAGTGTCACGATCGTTTGAGCGCTTTCCTGAGCTTTCTTTGTCGAAGGAATCAGTGGAACTGCCCTGTTGAAGGACATTGTGTTGTGAAGAACTCAGATGGACGCTGAACATGTAACAAGCCCAAGCGAAAACCCTGACGTAAAATATTCAGGTCAACCGTTCGTTTCGAAAAGCAAATAGCAACTGCAGCTATTGTCCTCTTCTGTACAAAATCCTGCTATTGGACAGATATACATGTAAACTTTTGATGAAGGAAAACTGCTAATCAATACTGGGAATTGCTAGTCAATTGTAAAACTGTGTAGCAGTGACAGCTATGCAAAAAAAATCAAAGTAAATCGATCCCTGGGTAGCCATGCAGGAAAAGCCAAAAGCTGCACACTCTGGGTTTCATGTACCATGTTGTCCCGGGTGTTAGCCGCAAAAAAACCTCGAAATCGCCGATGCGGCTCGGGACTCCGAATGCTGAATGTGAATCGACCAGCGCTGCAGCGCTCCACGCATAGAGTGTATGTATGGTGTGTGTTCCAGTACCTTTCATATACTACAATCCATCATTGCACTACCACTAAGCTTCTACATGTTGCCAGTTCTGAGTCAAGGGCTAACTGGGAAACTGGGAAACATTTGCTCGAAGGCCAGTCGTGCTTAGCAATTTTGGAACCACTGGCAACGTCTTGTATGTACTGGTACCTAAAAAATTGATTCAATCATATAATTATTTGTTGCAGTGGAATGTTATATTCGGATGGCCCAAAACATGCAGAGTCTAACGTGTGGTGTATACTCCGGATGTCCACAAACAAAACCAAATTAACACTCTGGAAAATACGGTACTCCTGGCCCAGTCTTGGTGCTAGCAAGAGTACATGCAAACCAGAGTGTGCAGCTCGGATGGGTTGCTGTCACGGCGAAATTCCTCGTGATCTCATCATTTTAGTGATGCAGTGCGTACAAGCAGGATTCAAGCAGGATTCAAGCAGGTCTCCTTCCGCAAAACTGCAGCTCAGTTGTACGCACTGTGCCATTTCCCGCCTCGGATCTGTGCCAAATATGTAATTACGGAATTCCGCCGTGACAGACACCCATAGTAGAAAAAGCCCTAAGCTGCACACTCTCGGTTTCATTTACTCTTGGCGTCACCCATAGAACTTTACTTGAACAAAAGCCACTACGCTACATAGGCCTATGACAAGCTTGGCATAAATAACTAGATTTGCATAGCATAGTAAAGCTAAGCAATCTCCTTTAGGGACCATCGCAAAAGTTCGCAGAAGCCCCCGAAAAGAAGACCGTTAGTTTCGGGCCTGACCCCCCTCCCTCCCCCCTCAAACGAAACGACAGTCACAATATGGGCTTCATTATTTCACTTGGATGCTCACACATAATAATTATTATAATATACTACATAGCAGGGGTTCATAAACCCTATGAACCCCTGCTAGTACTAGTACTAGCAAGAGTCCATAAACCACGCGTTTTATGGACTCTTGGTACTAGACTACACACAGTGAGTGCGTTCGATTACACACTTGAATCGATTCATGAATCCATTCGCATGCATTCAAGTCGTTCGATTTCATGTCATGAGCCCTGGAATCGATTCGGAATCCATTCACATGGGGTGATGTGAATAGCGCGAATCGATTCATGAATCGATTCGCGAATCGATTCGCGTGCATAATCGAACGCACTCAGTGTACAGGCAGCCAGCTACGCGACACGCGCAGTTGCATGAATGGAGTACGCGTCCTGACAAGCGATCTACGCCGGCTGTGATGGCATGCTAATCTATATCAGCTCCTACATGTCGTCAATACTTTTTGAATTGAAGCCCGGTTTGCGATTTTCGACACCGACTCCCTCCCCCCCAAACGTATGCTCTTCGTTTCAGGGGCTTCTGCAAACTTTTGCGATGGTCCCTTAGGAAAAGACATGAAACAGTCTTTGAACATGATGCTCGTGCTGCCAGGGCAAACTTTGATCATTGCAGTGCAAGGCTCTCTCCATGTAAATCCAGTAGAGCAGAAGCAAATGCACCAGCACTGAAAGGATGACACTTACCACCCTTGTATCGCCGGTCTTCAGGGATCTCCAAGCGACGGTTCACATTGTATCCCGAACGACTGCCAAGGTGCTCATACTCGGGCGGAGTCCTCCTTGGGAATATTTTGAGAAACTTGTATGCTATAGGCTTGTGACTTGCCGCAACTGGAACATCAATCTGCACCCAAACCTTCGTGTAGAGGTCATCTGGTCCACACCCTCTACAGACACACAGACAGACAGACGGATGGACAAACAGACAAAGTTAGCGAACGCTTGCCTATCCATATGATGACCTAGCAGTGCAGGTCTAGCTAGAATCTCCATTAACCCTTTCAATGCCAGTGACGAGATAACTCGTCATGAAATAACCACCCTGAACAGCCAATGATGAGAGAACTCGTCACACGCACGGATCATATAGAAACGAGCGTAGACCACCGTACAAACTGCTAAAACTTCGGTCTCCCTACTTCAAATTAAACATACTTCCTCCGTTAACAAAAACTTCGCGATGGATTTTGATGGATATGAAAACGCTTAGAACAGGTCAAGAACAGTTTGTACCAACTGCAAATCACTGGACAAAGGTAGTTCAGCCTATGTACAGCGTCTTTACAAGAGAAATTGTTGGCGGAATGAGCAGAGAGTTCAGTTTGCGTCGCTTTCGCTCGATTCATTTTTGACTCTGCGTCACTGTCGTCATCTGCTGCACATGAGTCGTCATCTCTCTCTCGAGTCGTTGTTCAGCTCTTTTCAGCCTTGCCTCGGCTTCTTTTATCACACTCCGCTGAACTTGATGTCGCTCAAGTAAGTTGGCTTTCAAGCTGCGTGATCCGCCGCAGTGGCGATTACTCGTTTCCACCAGGGAGTCATAAAAAATATTTTACGGCTCCCTGGTTTCATCTTCGCTCTCCAGAACTCCGCGAAACGAGGAGTAAAGGCATAGCCAAACTGATAACAGCACTGAACGGCAGCGGATAGCAAGTCCAGTCGACTTTCTTTAGCCATGAGACTCGCGTCGGACTGCAGACTTCTGAAAGAATGCATGGTCATCAGCATTCGAATCTGGGCGTTGTGCAGGTTGAGCAAGAACTAACTAGAGTTCAGAATTATTTCATTGCGCCGTGCGATCGGAGCAGCTCCTTGTTCACTCGCTCATTGTGTGGGCTCGCTGCTCCGTCCCATCGCTCTCTATCACTCTCAAACTCAGTGCTAGAGTAGTAGAGAGGCCAAGCAGCGCATCAGCCCCTCGGAGAAGTAAGACTGTAAAACGGGTAACTATTGCGACGGGTAAAATGTTTGCGAATTTTGCGAGAGGCCCCGAATCGCAAACTTTGAACAACGCAAACTCACGCCATGTAAAGTTCGGGGCAAGGACTGACTCGACTGTGTCGTACATGTATGTCGTACATATGTATTCAATCGCAAACATTAAACAGCGCAAACCAGTCTCTATTTGTAAAACGCAAACATTTATTGTCGCAAACGTTACCCGTTTTACAGTATTTCAGTTTCGCTCGCCATGACTGTCATAACCTATGTTGCCACAGCGCAACCATCGATTCCGCTCGCCTTGTTGTGAAAGGTCACTTTCCTTGCATAGTACCTCTTTCATGGCATGCCAGGGAAGGCCGAGAAAGTGATTGCGACTCATTTCACGGCAGTTTGTGCGCAAACCAGTCCCTCAAAAATCCATCACGAAGTTTTTGCTAACAGAGGAAGTACCGGTATGATGATTCATTGGAAAGCTATTGAATGTAGCTTTCCAATGATGTATCATTCCGTATTTCCCCGAACAGAAGTCGCACCTTTCACACTAAACTTCAAGACCAAATATGGGATGGGGTGCAACTTACAATTGAGCGTGACTTCCTACTTACGTGAATGTATTGATACAATTTGGCTCAGACCAGAAAATGGGGGTGCGACTTACAATAGGGTGTGAACCGTGTGACTAATACTCGGGAAAATACGGTAGTACAAAGTAACATACGTAGTGCCGAAGCTCAAAGTCCGGGAAACGGGCGAAGGTCAAAATTTCACAAGTGTGATTGTGACGCACTTCATGCTCTCAAGTGTACAAAGTGCTCGAATGTGGGGGGTTTCCCCAGTGCACAGCCCATGTGAGACATACACCAAAATGAGCGCTTGAACAGCATGATTCTGCTTGTGTCTGAATCATTCCACTCTCTCTCTCTCTCTCTCTCTTGAGTATGCGCTGCAAACGAAAGAAATTGTCTCTGAGTGTAGAATTGTACTACAAAGGCGCGTTGGAGCGGCTTTTGAAGTGTTTGTATGCCGTGGATTTGCTGGATTCCTTGGAGTTTTCTCTTCGATTTACATACTTGGATTGTCCCGAAGGACCGATATTCGACTGAAATACGAAGGTTTGTAGCTTGGTTGTCCAGGCGCACCAGTGCGTAAACTCGCCAACTTTCAAGTGCATTTTTCTGCACTGCACAGTGTTTGCGACAAGGTCGGTATTGTCATCTGACGGCTCATATAATTACGGGTCGTCCGTATTTTTCGAAAAATTAAAAATTCCGTCCTCAGGCAAAAAGGGGGTGGGTGGTCAAGAGTGCTGGCGGAATTTAATTTTTTGATTGTTCGTACCTTTTTTTATACAAAAGAGAAAGACCAATGAACCACAAGTTACGCTATACTGTCCACTAACACCACCAGCTACTAAACAATCAGCTCGTGCGATAAAATTGCACAACACTGACCGACGGTACTGACGTTCTACAACTAACTTGCTAACAGCTCTAGCACATCTTGGATGCGCACACCAACAGCGTAACTTGTGGTTCATTGGTCTTTCTCTTTTGTATAAATTTTACCTTGGCTCTCCAGCTGAGTCCATACCTTTTTTTCTTTCTTTTTTTGCTCCAGTGACTTTCATACACTTGTTGCACTGATTATAGCTGACTGTGTACTGTATTGTAGACGTAGTGTAGGATCGATTGTCGCAAACACCAGTATCTACTATGATATACATGACTTTTCATGTAGTTGTAGGACGGTGCATGGCGTGACGTCGGTAGACCTACTACTCACTGTACTTAGCTACTAGTACTTGGCACAGGTGCAGTCAGAAAACATGGGGTCAGGAGTTCTTATTTTCGAGCAGGGCATCGGTAAAAATCAAAAAATTGATGGGAAAAAATGGGGGTGGGTGGGTGGGTCAGAGACAATTTTGCACGAGGACGGATTTTTTAATTTTTCGAAAATTACGGACGACCCCTTATAAGGCTTTTACAGTAGCAGATCATTTGTGAAGGCCCCACATTACTAAATCAATCTCATGATAGTCTTTGATGGGCACCGTACCCACAAAACCATAAATATATATACCGGTATACAGCTGAGCAGATCATGAGACTTATAGTCAGTTTCAAAAAGATTAGCAATCCTGGCGATCGCCCGGGGAGTTTGCCGTCTTACCGTATGACGGCTCGAGCGCTGCCTGGAAAAACTCACTGTGAACTCGAAGAAATATTCCGCGCGAAAGCATGAAAAATGACAACTCACTGACGTCGGTACTCGTACATGACTTTGTGTTCGTCTGGTTTACAACAAACGAGTTCTTCCTCGTATCGATATGGAGTCAGAGAGGACATGTCGAAACTTCAAAGTGTGGTAAATTTTGACGAGCGGGATGCGTCCGTTTTGTGACCAAATAGATTCTTTGAGCTGCCGCGGATGCAATTTACTCTCACGATGTGACGAAAACGGCATCGACACAGACTCATTCCCAAGGCCTTGAAGTGGCAAAGCTATCCGTGTGACTTCGACGACATTTTGAGAAAAGCAGACGCCTGTGAAAGCTGATAGAAGACGGCGTTGACTCCCAAATTCAAATAAATTGGCGATCTTCAAATACTAAAATAATTCTCAAACAGAAATCGATCGATCGATGTGCCGGTGTATTCAACAACACGTACACTGTAGCTACAGCGCAATGACTTCCGTGTTCACTCACACGGTTTCAGTGTTGTGTGTGTTCACAACTTCACATGGCGTGAGCCAGTCAAGTGTCAGTCAGTTCGGCAGGAAACGCGAGCTCCAACAACAAGTCGTTTGGCGCAGCCACCTTCTTTGTCTTGTACCAGCGTGATCACCAAAACAGTGAAAAAATGAAGAAAAAAATGTTTGACTTGAAGATTTGTTGGGATTTGAACTCACAACTTCATGGTCAGCAGACAGCATTCATAACCACAAGGCCAAAAAGGAAGGGATAAATCGTGGGTTTTGATAACAAATCGATACTGGCTTCCAGGGCAAATTATAAACCATGGGAAAAGGCCAGAAACCTGGCCGAAATACTAACTCCTTAATGGTTGGTCCAATTGTTCCGAAACCTTCACAGAACAATTTGCCGTGTCCTAACAAGCCGTTTTATGTACTTTGTTGTCCAAATTTCCCTTATCTTTATACTTTTTAAGACCCAAACTTGATTGCTAATCTTTTTGAAACAGACTGTAGGTTGCGTTTCTTCGGTGCCATTCCGTCACCATTCCAAAGTCATTCCGCCGTGTTTTGATTCCGGAGCGTTTGTTTGATGCACTGGACAGCGTTTGTTCGGTGCAATTCCGATTCCGGTCGCGGAATGAAGGGGGCAGAATTGATTCTGGCGATTCCTAAGAAAAAGTGGAATGAGGGCTCATTCCGAGCGGAATGAAAATGTGCGGAGGGCCTAGGGGAAGTTCGTCGTTGCTGCATACTATGGCGTCCCCAACAAAACTTCAAACGCGATTGTCGATATACAGAAATGTTGGCGGACATCGTCCAGGGTATATAGGTTGGTACTGTAACTTTAGGGACGGCATAGTAACTTGTTCGTGGTATTTTGACCCTTCTCTGCCTGAGAAAGTGTTCGCCCGGGATCGTTGATGAACTGGAAAGATGCGCTCGCACCTCAGCTCTTCATCGTCGTCGAGCAGGGCCTCTAGAATCACAGGGAGGCGAGCCAAAACAAAGTGACCCAAAGAGGCACCGAGCCTGCCACTTCACTTCTTCTTACAACAGTGCCTCGCCTCTGTCAACAAAACACGAGAGCTAGAGACGTTTCTGTGACTGATACGAGATCGTATAGCATGATGAAGTAGCGGCCAAACGCCGCCTGCAGGCACCCTAGTTACGATCGCTCGTTGATCTACGCCGTGTTTGGCCGCTCCTTCATCATGACTGTCGTAGGGACATGCAGAAACTTACGGAAGCATAATAGCAACTACCAGGACTGGCATGTAGTAGTCTTCGCAAGGCTGCAATTTGTGCAAACAACAGGTAATACGTTTCCAGAGTGGCGCAAAACTTTTGCCAGATTCTCGAATCCATGCCAGCATGTTTGTTTGCTACGCTCATTCCGATTCCGCGATGGGTACAGACGTCATTCCATGCCCATTCGGGAATGACCGAACAAATGCAACCTTGGTAAGCTCATATCTAAAACTAAATACTACTACGGTACACAACACAAAATGGAACCCATCAAAGTTTCATTAGGGAGGTTTCGCTCTACGAAATTACGTATGAAAATCCGTATGTCGTACGCGCCGGGGAGCGAGGGCAACTTTCATACTTAAATCTCTCTACGGATTTCCGTAGAAAAGGTGTTTCCAATCTTCGGTCCTCCGTAGGATTTCTGAAATGTCCTTTGCAGCTTCCGCGTTCATTTGTGGCAACGTTCAAGCCGCGGGAAACACAAGCTACACATCACTTTGGAAAACAAAATGGAGAACGTGATTAGGTTCGTGTTGCAGGCGATGGGCGCATGGAGGACGCGTCTCCAACGCAACAAGGCATGCTCAGCAGTAGTGGTGAAATCACGTAGAGCGAAACCCAAGAGCACTGATTTTACGTATGAAAACTGCGTGCAGCTCCTACGTTATTTTCATACGTGATTACGTAGAGCGAAATCTCCCCAATACCGGTAGATTGCTACTTACCCCACCTGGTTCACGTAACCCACAATTTCCACCCAATTGTTGATACTGCTTGACACAGCCATGAACTCTCCTTGAGCGAACTTCCACTCTGGTGACAACAGTGCATGTATGGTGACCAAAATACCATCTTGCTTGTTTTGCGCAGGAGGTTGGGCACTAAGAG